GATTATTTTGCTCACCCCATTGGCAGATTATTTTGCTTGATTTGAAGAAAAACTCACTTCATTTTGGCATATTATTTCTTAAAACAAGACAATATGTTTTGCTTGTCTAGAAAATGCTTCAGGATTTAAACATTTGTGGATATTTGGACTAGAAACAAGACAAAAAATCTAAGTAGAAAAGCATTTTTTGCAGTGCATTAAAATAGACAATACGTTTGGTGCATTCTCCACTAATTCAATAAAGTTATTGTTTATTAGTAATCAAAATTTAGTGTTGTGATCTTGTTTTAAAAAGAAGTAGATTTGCATTCAAACCTACAACAAATTAGACTTAGGCCCTTACTGTATGTAAATTAATCACGGTTTTACTGCAAAAAAAAAATCCAAACAAATTATTGTTGTTGTATACCATGGTAACCCCTAGTAAAACATGGTTCTTTACACTAATCACAGTACTCATTGCCTTTATGGTAAGACTGTGGTTATATCAGTGGCAATCAATACACCACAAAATCTCGATTACTTCACATTTACTATAGTAAATTTATGGTTGTATACTATGTCAAGCCCTACCCTGCTAAAAAATCCAGCTTAAACCAGCCTAGGCTGGTTGGCTGGTTTTAGCTGGTCGACCAGGCTGGTTTTAGAGGGGTTTTGGCCACTTCCAGGCTGGTTTCCAGCCATTTCCAGCCTGGTTTTAGCTGGTCAGGCTGGAAAATGACCAGCTAAATCCAGCTAAAACCAGCTTGACCAGCCTGGTTTAAGCTGGACATAGCTGGTTTTGGCTGGGCTTCCATTAATTAAGCATGATTGTGCTACAGTAGTCAAAGTCTACTCATTGCAGTTATGGTAAAACTGTGGTGAAATCAGTACAACACAAAACCATGATGACTTCACATTTACTTTAATGAATTCATGGTTCATTTTCATAAGGGAAAGTTCTGAAAATTGAAAGAATGTATCCTAAAAATAAATTGATAAAACTAGTACTGTACTACTTCTTTGTCCGAATCTTTCCAGATTTTATAATGTTGATATTGTTTGTGTGTTTTATCACCGTTGTCTGTTTTTTTTCCCCCACAGAATGTGTGTTTCTTCTTTGTGAGGAGCTGGGATTGAGCCCTGTGGTCGCATATCAGGCCATCGAAATACTGGAGAGGTAATTTTAAGATTCTTAAATGAAAAGTGTTTACTGTACAGCCATTTAAAACACCATCTTATTGTCATACTGTAGGTTTACAGCCAAACATATTGAAGATCTGATCCGCAGCCGCAATTATTCATCTGACACTGAGGACACCAGAAACTGTGCAGATCTCATCTTCCAAACGCTCAAGCACAAGTTCTTCCTGTTCATCATTTCAAGCATTCAGATCGCCAGCAAACTGGATCTGTACACCAATGTATGTTTATCTGATATCCAAAATTCTACATTACGCTGCTATTGACTCTCTAATCTGTATTTGTCTATAGGTCGTCAACAATGACATTGCGATGAGATTTCTGCAGGCGCTCAGTTACCCTTCCTCCAAAAAGCAGCTCTTGGACTCTGAGATTTTCATTTTAAAAACGCTCAACTTTAATCTGAACGTCCCCAATCCTGTTACGTACGTGGAGACCCTTTTGGAAGTGCTGGGTAAGCTGTTTTTATTTGGGCTGCATCTATAACCTTAAATACGAATGGTCTGGGTCTGGGGCGAAGCAATGGCGCAGTAGGTAGTGCTGTCGCCTCACAGCAAGAAGGTCGCTGGGTCGCTGGTTCGAGCCTCGGCTCAGTTGGCGTTTCTGTGTGGAGTTTGCATGTTCTTCTTGCGTTCGCGTGGGTTTCCTCTGGGTGCTCTGGTTTCCCCCACAGTCCAAAGACATGCAGTGCAGGTGAATTGGGTTGGCTAAATTGTCCGTAGTGTGTGTGTGGATGTTTGTGTGTGGCTGGAAGGGCATCTGCTGCGTAAAAACTTGCTGGATGAGTTGGCGGTTCATTCCGCTGTGGCGACCCTGGAATAATAACGGGACTAAGCCGACAAGAAAATGAATGAATGAATGAACAAATGGTCTGGAATAGGGCTGCATGATATATTGTTTCAGCATGGATATCGTAGTGTTCATTTGCAATAGTCACATCGCAAGATATGCAAGGCCGAGTTTGGATTATACTTCATCATATGCATGTGTTTCTGAGGCATGTGACTACAGAAGTATTAGCCTTTGTAATTTTAATAGCGATTAATTTTATTCAATTATTTATACAATGAAGACTACGCAGTATTATTTTACATTTGATTGTTCAATTGTTGTACCCGAATACCGACAGACTCCTCAGAAAACCAAAAAACACGGTTTATTTCATTTGTATGTTTTTTTAATTGTTATATTTGTGTATGTAGATTGTTTATTATATTTATATTTGCAGGCACACAATGTCATAAGACGTTAATATTAGGTTACATTTAGGTTGTGACGTCAGGTGACCAAAATTCTATATAAAGCCAGCGTCTAAGGACAACGTTATTTTGATGTTCAGTAACGACATTAAATGATGTTGATATTTTATTGAATGTAGGTGTTGGAAAGTGACCAAAATCCAACGTCGAGCCAACATCTTAAACCAATGTCATATTGACGTCAAATACTGACATTTGTTCGTCAGGTATGGCAACCAAAATCCAACATCTGATAGAAGTCACAGTAGTAACGTCCAGACAACGTCAAGCTGTAACATCATTAGACGTTGATATTTGGTTGGACATTGACGTCGGTCTGACGGTCTACTCCTCCAACCAAAAATCCCCGCTAGTGCCAGTACTCAAACCTGCGACCTTTTGATCCCAAGTTTAACTGTCTAACCATTAGGCCATGACTTACAAGTTAATTGCATGCACGCACGCACGCACGCACGCACGCACGCACGCACGCACGCACGCACGCACGCACGCACGCACGCACGCACGCACGCACGCACGCACGCACGCACGCACGCACGCACGCACCATTAGGCCATGACTTACAAGTTAATTGCACGCACGCACGCTAGGAACATCACAATTATTTTACATTTTGTAAAAGGGGCATAATAGGTGCCCTTTAGACGTAGTACTTATTTAAAATACAACTTTAACGATGTGATTAGTAATCAGTAATAATTAAATTATTTTCGGTAAATTACCCAACATTCATTGTTTGTGTTTTCACACAGGCCACAATGACGCATCTGTCCCTGTTGCACAACTACATGACCAGTGTGTGCCTGTGCTGCAGTTTATTTACCTACAGAGGGAGACAATCTACAACTCATTGCTCATTGCTGCCATTGGATGTCCCAGTCCTTCCCATGAGCAAAGGTACAGAGTTTTCTCAAAGCTTCTTCCAAAAGCTCCTGAGGTCAATCATCAGTAGGTTGTGTGCATTAATTCGGACAGTGGCAAAATTCGGGCAAATTTATACCAGCAAGTAGGGCTGAACAATTGCAGTGTGTGTATCTGTAATAGTCACATCACAGGATTAGATTATTTATTGAAGATTCAAAGATAAAGACAGTATATATATATATATATATATATATATATATATATATATATATATATACACATACATACAGTGAAAGTCAGAATTATTAGGCCCCCTTTGAATTTTATTTAAATTTTTTTTATATTTCCCAAATGATGTTTAACAGAGCAAGGAAATTTTCACAGTATGTCTGATAATATTTTTTCTTCTGGAAAAAAAAAACATCTTTAAAAAACATTTTAAGGTCAATATTATTAGCCCATTTAAGTTATATATTTTTTCGATAGTCTACAGAACAAACCATCGTTATACAAAAGACTTGCCTAATTACTCTAACCTGCCTAGTTAACCTAATTAACCTAGTTAAGCCTTTAAATGTCACTTTAAGCTGTATAGAAGTGTCTTGAAAACTATGTAGTCTAAGATAAAATAAATCAGTTATTAGAAATGTGTTATTAAAGCACTGTTTATTTATTTATTTATTTTTGCTGGTAATTTATTATAATTTATGCAGATGCACTGCACAGAAAATTACGTGATCATCTCAGTCGATCTAAATGAATGAAATCTTTCTTAAACAGATCTATTCAAATCATCAGGTGAAATTATTTTCATATCACAATATATATCAGAACAAAACAAAATATTGCAATGTCAGATTTTTCCAGTATCGTGCAGCCCTGCCAGCAACATTTTAACGATTAAACATTACCTATTAAACCGGGGGTTCCCAAACTTTTCAGCCCGCGACCCCCAAAATGACAATGCCAGTGACTTTGACCCCCAATATCTTCTGAGGTGGTGGTCATAAATACAGAAACGTTGCATGCAATGGCACACACACACACACCATGGACCCAAGTCTATTCTTCGTTTAATTTTTTAAATGTATGTCAGTGCTGTAAATGGGCCAGAAAGTTTAACCTGGTATTATAAAATCAATCTGCTACATCTGGCGCTATTGCCTAGTCTTTAATCTAATGTAATCACCCCAGGGGTCACAATACAATAGAACTAGTAACAAGCTACTATTGTAAATATAGTATATAGTAACTAAAAACTATATTTTTTTTTCTCTTCAGTAAGTTATGGATGAAATATGGACATTCTTATGGTTTAATAAAAATAAATAGATTTTTGAAATCACCAGGCGAACCGCCTCCATTGTCCCACGACCCCTTGGGGGGTCCTGACCCCCACTTTGAGAACCACTGTATTAAACAATTATAACAATTGCTAGACTTTTTATAATCTATATAACTATGTTCTTTTATGTCAAAAGGAAATTTTCTTTAAAGAAAAATACCTCTCGTTTGTCATTACGTTTGATGATTTGGGTCACGTGATTCATATTTCGTGCTCCTGAACATTCTTCAAAATATCTTCTTTTGTGCTGAACAGAAGCTCATGCAGGTTTTAAAATCAATTAAAAGGTCAGTAAATGCTAGTAAATGCTCATTTTCAGATGAACTTTAATTTGTATTTTGCTGTTGTGGACTGCCTTTGAAACCTCCCTGTTGTATAAATATTGACGGTTAATATTCAGTGTTTATTTTAATCTTGCATATTTCCTTTTATGCTCTCTGCGAACCCGCTATGAAGGATTAATTTCAGTCGATTCATTTGCATTAATAGAGCTTTCAGCTGCCTTTTCAAGTTTTCATGGCAGCAGCTGTGTTTGTTCTTGTTTTGCAAATTAGTTCAATTCTTCATAATATTCGTAACCGTCTCTTAATGTTCCCCAGAGCGATGAAACACGCTGACTCTCATGAGTGAATCAAACTGATGCTCTTCATGTAGTTCACTGTCAAAAAATGCTGGCTTCCACACAGGTTTGCACATTATATCGTTTCAGCATCGATATTGCAATGTGTGCATCCGCAATAGTCATATCGCAGGATGTATATTATAATCAGTGCCTAGCTTAATTATAATAGTGTAAAAGTTTATCATTCATTCATTCATTTTCTGCCACTTTTCTGGGGCTGTGTCACGGGGTCAGCAGTCTTAGGAAAGAACCTTAGACTTCCCTCAGCCAAGACTCAGAACACCCTAGCAACCGCATAGCAACACCTTAGCAACCACTTAGCAATGCCTTAGTTACCACCTAATAATACCTTAGCAACCACCTAGCTTCACCTTAACCAAAGAACTTAGGCCGTTTCTCAATATGCGTTCTTGTCTGTACTTGCGTTCTTGTGGCCTCGTGAAACGTCATCAACCGTCGCCAAAGTACTGTTTCAATTCAAAGTTCACATCTTTCCAAGTACACATGAAATTCCCGGATGTGTACTTCCTCTGGCCTTTAGCCAAAGATGCATCGAGAGGTGACTTGTGCGAACTTTCGGAGCTCAGGTATCCCAGAATGCATTGCAGTGTAACCAGTGAAAGCTAATGGCGGAGGAGGAAACCCACACGGTTTTGAAAATACTCCTTTACTGTGTCACAAAATAAAGTTTTAAGAGTTTTTCAGGCGAGAATGTAGTTGTTTTTAACTGGAATCGGCAGTTTACTCACAAAAATAGCGCTTCTTTAACGATTCGGCTCAGCTTATGCGGACTCCGACTCCCAGCCTGCCAGCGGGAGCTCCGTCATCAGCTCCCCCGCCAGAGCAGCTTTACTTCGGCCAGGCCATCTCGGTCGTACCGCTGGATCTCATCTCTCCATTGTGGTTAAAACATGATATTTAATACATCTTGTGAATATCTAACGGACAGTTTTTGGTCTTATAAATCTATTATTTGTTCTCAGGTGTATTATTTTGGCAGTGTTATTTTGTTACCTTTTATAATTTTCTTTAATTATGTTACCGTGTTGTACGCTGTTTGTCTTTGTTTACCAAATTGCTTGACGTAATCTTTATTTCTTATCGTGTATGTCTTTATTTCTTATTTTTGTGTATAATTACCATTGTAGTTTAATAAATCTGATAATCAAAGAAACGTGTTTAATAACTCATTTTAATTCACATTTTTATGAATATATGTGTACATTTTCTTAAATCAAAAATTTAGATTTATAATATTAATGTAATATTTATTAAATCATTTTATTGTTAATGTACAGTGAAACTGATGAATCCATGGTGAGGTAAGTGACGTTATAAAGTACACTGCTGTTCCATTTGAAGAAGTACCCGACTTGTGTCCTCGCGGCCTTCGGGAGTTCGTTCTTCCAAGTCTGAACTTGGTAAGTTTGAACTTCCAAGGACGCAAGTCCGAACTTTGCATACTTGGTATTGAGAAACAGCCATTTTGGAATGAAAACTCCAATAGAACAGCAGCGTATTATAATGTCAGTAAAATAAACTATTAAAAGTGTTGATGATTGTGATAGTAAGTGTTGTATTGTCGTCTTTCAGGTTGTATCTCAGCTTTAATGCGCTTTTTAAATCAATGAATAAAAAACAAAGCAGCCGCTTGCCATCGCGACAGCAATAAGATCAAATGGACAGCCGACCGCTTTCACTCCAAAATGGCAGAATCTCGGGCTGACGCTGGGCGCTGCTGTCGCAATGGAACGTTATATTGAGTGTCGGCCCTTGGTCATTCTAAGCTCTTTGCCTTTAAAATGACCTAGAACACCTAAGCAACAACCTAGCAACCGTTTAGAACACCTTAGCAACAACCTAGCAACACCTTAGTAGCTACCTAGAACACCCTACCAACACCTTAGCAACCACTTAGAACATCCCATAGATATATACATTAGATGTCGCCTGGCCTATTGTTGTCTATTGGACGGAATGCGTCAATAGTGCCGCCATCTTGGTACAGGGTAGCGCTCCTTTGAAATGAATGCGGGACCAAGGTACAGTGGAGGACTGTGGCCATCCAAAGCCAGAGATATACACATATACACACATATCTATGATCGGGAGTTTTCCTGGATGTTAGTATGTAATTTTTTTTTTTCTAATTACGAAAATTATAATTTTACATCACTTTTCAACATTGATGGATCAGTGACCGCACGGGCATTCCTGACAAAAAGCTTGTGTTTGTATGTACAGTACTATTCACCCTCCTTCTTAAATTTAATCTAATCATGTCCTGAAACACAGCTCCTCTCCTGCTTTCACTTCTCATACTGACGGAAGGATCGATTTGTTTGTAAATGAATCTCCGTTATGAACAACTTGATCACTAGCCGACAATAATACAAGTTTCTGGCAGCGCAGCATCTCGTTTTCATATTTCTTTTGCATTGTTTGCTGATTTTATTCAACAAAACTAGCATAAGCCGAGTGTTTAGTGCGAGTTAGAGCTTCTTTGCCTTATGGTGAATGCAGTAAGTGACTGTTATCATCAATAACGTTACCTGATTAGCACAAAACTTCAGAACATACAAAAACATAAAAAAACTTAATATTACCTATGAAATGTTCTGCCTTTGTGCTTTGTTTTCATTGTTTGCTCATTACTACACCCGTAGACAGTGCTAAAGTACCGCATCTTTACGTAATAACACTGTCTTGACTAGTGCGGTTGAATGACATTTGTACTGGGAGCACTGTACCAATGTGGCGGCGCGATTGACGCATGCTCAGGGTCCCTATGCGATATCTAGTGTATAAATCTATGAGAACATCCTAGCAACACCTTAGCAACCACCTAGAACACCCTATGAACTGCCTAGCAACCAATAAGAACACCTTAGCAACCACCTAGAACAATCAAGCAATCACCTGGCAACATCTTAATTACACTAAGAACACCCTAGCAACACCCTAACAAGAAACATGCGAATCCATACTAGAAACATGCTAACACATATGTAGTTACAGTATCTATCTGTGCCGACTGTTTCACATGTCTTAAAAACGACTTCAATGATTTAAACATTTAAACTACTTTAAACTTTCAGACAAGGCTTTCTCAAGCCACTATAAAGTTTGTCTACAAACTTTACTTTTCTAGTTGTTATTTTTATACATATTTCCTATATTTTCTGTTTGTTTTTAATAAGTAGACTGCTTGATTATATATTGTGCACAAGTCTTAGGCCAGCAAAGCGAGTATAGTGCTCAGTGCTGTATATTGCAGATGCACACATTGTGATATCGATGCTAAAACGAAATATTGTTCATCCCTAATTTACACGCTTCACCTTGAACAAGGTCGTAAATCATTCTGAGGCAAACATCGCTAGGGTTTTATGTACTCGCTGCTGTAGCTTGGGGTATTTGAAGTATGTCTTGTGTTTGTCGACAGAGCCAAGTTTGTGTCGGTGACAGAGGACTTCATGCTTTTGGGAGTTGGAGTCATCGCTGTGGCCGCCTTTATTCATCATATCTCAACGTGTGAAAAGGTACCGAAAACACCCACCGAATCTAGATCATGATTCAGCTGCGAAGCGTATTTAAATATTTATTACCCGCCTCAATATTGAGAGTCTCGCAGGATTGTAGTTGTTTGGTTGATGTGTGTGCTGCAGGTGGTGGAGGAGCTGGCAGAAATCACAGGCATTTCAGCCCAGAGCATCATGGACTTTGCGCATGTCACACTGATGCACATCACCGACAACACATCCAAGTGATGATTTTTTAGTGTGTTAAAATAGTCTGAAACAATCGGTTGTCTAGAATATGGGAATATAATAATAATAATAGGGGAATAATAATATAAAATAATAGGTGAATAGATTAGAGTTGTTTGAGGACTGAACTATAAAAATGCTTTACTTAAATGTTTTGTTTCTAGTCAAGATATTAAAAAAATTCTTCAATCAAGAAGCGTTTTCTGCACAAGCAAAAGGAATAATGTTTTCTTTTAAGAAATAAAATGCCAAAATTAAGTGAGTTTTTCCTTAAAACAAGCTAAATAATCTGTCAGTAGGGTAAGCAACATGATCGTGCTTTCATTATGATCATTTTGCTTTAGCCCATTGGCAGATTAATTTGCTTGTTTTAAGAAAAAACTCACTTCACGCATTATTATTTCTTTAAACAAGGCAATATTTGCTTGTCTAGAAAATGCGTCTTGATTTATTTAAGAGTTTGTAGATATTTGAACTAAAAACAAGACCAAAATATCTTAGTAAGTAATCTAAGCTGCAAAAAATGCTTTTCTTACTTGGAGTTTTGCCTGGTTTTTAGTCCAAATAAAAAATATCTTAAAATATATCTAAAACAAACAAATAAATATCTTAATCATTTTATTTTAGTCCAAATAAAAATACCTAAAATAAATCTAATAAATAAATAAATAAATATCTTAATCGTTTTATTTTAGTCCAAATAAAAATACCTAATATAAATCTAATAAGTAAATAAAAAAATAAAAAAATATCAAATTGTTTTATTTTAGTCAGAATAAAACCACCTAAAATCTAATAAGTAAATAAATAAATAAATATCAAAATTGTTTTATTTTAGTCTAAATAAAAATACCTAAAATAAATCTAACAAATAAATAAATCAATAAATAAATAAATATCTGAATCGTTTTATTTTAGTCTAAATAAAAATACCTAAAAAAGATCTAATTAAAAAAAAATCTAAATTGTTTTATTTTAGCCCAAATAAAAATACCTAAAATAAATCAAATAAATGAATAAACAAATAAATAAATCGTTTTATTTTAGTCCAAATAGGAATACCTAAGAAAATCTAATAATTAAAAAAATAATTGAAAGATAATTCAGCTCAAAAACGCTCTGCAGCAAGTTGCCTTACAATATTGAGTTAAGTCAACCTTTTTTTTTACAGGTTATCTAAAAAATATCGTAACAAATTTGATATCTAAATTATTTTATTTTAGTGCAAATAAAAATACACTGTAAAACAAAAAGTTGACTCAATTTAAAATTTTAAGGCAACCAGCTTCAGGGCATTTTTGAGTTTACTCAACTTAAATTGAGTCAAGTGCTTTACTTGAGTTGAAAGATGAGTCAGCTCTAAATAGCTCTGCAGCAAGTTGACTTACAATTTTGAGTTGAGTCAACTTTTTTTTTTACAGTGTATCTACAAAAATCTGAAAATAAATAAATAAATATCTAAACCATTTTATTTTAGCCCAAATAAAAATATATGTAAAAAAAAAAATTAAGAAGCATTTACTTCAGGTTTGTCCTTAAAACAAGCTAAATTATCAATTATTGGATGGAAATTATTTTACTTACCCCACTGGCAGATTATTTATTTATTTTTTATTTTTTAAGGAAAAACTCACTTAATTTTGACTTATTTTCTGAAAACAAAGCTATATTTTTTACTTGTCTAGATTTAAGCTTGGCTGATTTAAGAATTTAAGTATTTTGGATTAGAAACAAGACAAAATCTCGCTTTTTTTGCAGTGTACTCAGAATGAAAATAACTACTTCTCTTAGAGAATTGTTAGTTGTTGTGTAAATTGTTAGTCTGTCATGACTGGATGAATTGTTTACAATAAAGATTAATTTCCATTTGCATAATACTACGCAACAATCTGTAAAAGGAATTGATGAGTGTGTGATGAGATTCCTGAGATTCCTTGTTAAAATTAGTTGGCATGTATCAGACGGTGCTAATAGTGTGAAAATCTTAAGCGATAACACAATGAATTCATTAATATGTTTACATTTTCAACTATAGCTAGCAAGCTAGAAAAATATTGATTTGATTCTATGCATCAGTTGTTGATTGGATGTTGAGGTATGGGTGTGAGCTTGCAGAGGTGGAGTTTAGGCCGAATAAATGATTGGAGAAATCCTGCAACAACAGGGTGAAGTCCCCAATTTAAACTATATTTAATGTTTTAAATACATCGTTACACTGTTTTCTGTATTTTGTGATTCATGTTTTTATTTCCCCACTTAATTATGCTTTTGAATTGCATTATGGGAGCTTGATCTTTCCTCCGAAAGCTTTTGATTCTTATAAGTTTGTAAAAGAGACTTTTATTGACATTTTTATTAGATATATTGTATGGGTTGGTGTTGTATATTACAGTACAAACCCTGGTAATAAACTGCAAGTACATTTTCTGTTATTTTACATAATTTATTCTTTTAATATCTTGTTTCAAACTACTACTATGTCAAAAAAGTCACATTGTTAAACTGCAGAATTGAATTTTCAACTCCCTTGAAAACACTTGTGAATCACAAAATACGGAATCTGTATGTGTCGATGTAAACTTTAAGGATAATTTTTATTAAATATACACTTTAATCAGATATCTCAAGCAAGTTTCTTCATCTTTTGCTCACATTAATTTTAAGGGTGTCACGATCCTCCAAATCCTCGATTCGATTTCATTTTCGATTCTAAAGGCATGATTCGATTCGATTTTCGATTACGAATAATTAATTAATGACCAATTAATTATTTGTAGCCTACCGTTTAAACTACCTAACCTGCATGGTCTTTGTTTCACCCATAAACAAATCATACAGTAAATGAATAAAGGCAAGATACACTCATAATTACCACCTGTCAATCACTTTTTCTGCGGGACTCGTGAATAGGCAGTGATCTGTGTCGTTATAATGGCGTCGGTAAAAAAGACGCACAACCAACAGGAACCAGCCAACAGTATCTGAGGTGTTCGCTAAAATGACTAAGTACAAGTGAGTAAAAGATTGAAGCAGTCCTCTGACTGCCTGGACCTGCTGTCTCGAGCGCATGGCTGTGTGTGCGTCTGTGTCTGTGTGGTCACGTGATGTGCATTTTCAGAGGTAGAGAGGAAGGAGGGCTGCTCAGAAATGCTACACGCCACTGTGGATGTCAAATCGTTGTCTTTCTAAAATGCCATTTAAAAACAAAGACAGTGTAAACAGGGCCTGAGTGTGAACTTTTCGCAAGCGGATTTGCAACGGGGGCGGGCGGAGGATCGCGATGCCGGTGTTGTCTATCGGACGAACCGTACGTAATACGTACACAGCAGAGCTTGCAAAACTGTGTTTTTTTTGTCGACAACACGAACGTTGTCAACATAACTCACTGGAAATCCAAAATGCTTCCACGCCGGCGACTTCATTGAAAGAGGAGAGGGTTTAAGTTCTGTCAACGGGTCTCCTGCGTCTGCAGTTTAACAAGCACATAAACAAGCCGGTTTTTTCCCCGCTTGGCAAGCCAAGCTGACGTGACATGGGGGCGTGGCAGCATCGACGATTCTATTTTTTGATTCGATAATCGAAATTGAGCATATATTTAGATCGATTTCGATTAAAAATCAAAATCGTGACACCCCTACTTAATATAGTTACAGAGACTTTAGAACTCCACGGTTTTCATATTAAAAGATCTGCATTTCAAATATTTTATTTTTATTTATTTATTTATTTGACATGGACATCACAATTACACTGGACAACCAAATGCATTTGTTTAAGTGTTTTAGCGAACTTGCTAATTCTCAACACCTGTCCACAGGAGGCTTAAAATTGACAAAATAGAAATATATTAAAACATACATAACATTACAATCTTTACATAAAATTACTGCAGGCAAAAGAAAAGGCGACATGATCCTACCAACTAACAGTAGACTATTTGTGCAAACACTGCTGTTTTGTTTTTAACCACTTTTTAAGAGCCCTACTAAAAATATTCAAATTACTTTCTGATTTTAAGCTAACCGGTAACTCATTCCACAGTTTGGCTCCCTTTACAGAGAAGACAGATAGACCGAACGAGGTCTTACACTTTGGCACTAGACAGTCACCGTTAGCAGTTGCCCGTGTAACTCTGTGGGAGGTTTGATGCCGATTGATTAGCTCAGAAAACAGGATTGGAACATGATTATTTAAACATTTAAAAACCAATTTAAGATAACTGAATAAAACTATCAAAACTAAAAAGGTTATGTTTACATAAAACATCACAAGGATGCCATCGCATAGGCTTTAAGTCCATAATTTTAACTGCTTGTTTATATATTGAGTCAATAGGCTTCAATGTAGTTTAAGAGGCTTGTGACCAAGATGTAATGCAATACCTCCAATGAGAGAATATCATTGTGTGCATGTATAATTTTGCAGTGTGATGTGTTAAAAACCTTCTAATGAAACGAAAACAGTTTAGACTTGGCTTAACTTTCTTACTTAATTTTTTTTAACATGACTATCAAATTTTAAATTAATGTCTAGAGTTATGCCAAGATACTTAAACTCATTCACTTCTTTAATTACTTTATTTTTATCAGCACCTCAAATGTATCCCGTACAGGCCTATTTCGTATAGAAAAATTCATAGAAACTGTTTTCTTGACATTTAAAGTTAAATGAGACAGTTCAAGTCATCTTGAAATGTGTTGTAAAGCCTGGGTCAGTTGCTCACCTGCCCAGTCTTATTGGCCTGGGATGACATGAGGGTGAGTAAATGACAGAACTCACATTTTTGGCTGAACTACGCCTTCAGATATAATTTAAATAGACTGGTATGAGTTTTTCTTAAGCTTTTACATGACATTTGAAAAGTTATTGCTTTAATTGGACTAAAACCTTTGAAAAATTGGTTCAATTCAGACGCCTCATGATATTTGTGCAACATATCAGTCAAATCAGGGAAGATGGCAAGTCTTTAGGTTAAAATATGTATTTTCTGATGACCAGGGCCAGACGGAATCTGCGGACGTTTTTTTGCTATTTCTGCGGAGAATTTTGGTAAAAATCTGCAGATTTCTGCTGAATTATTTTGGTAGTATCCAGCGGAGTATCATAACTAAAACCTTAATATATGAAATAAAAAGTAATAAATTACTGAACAAAAGCTGAATAAATTCACATTTACACATTTACAATTAATGATGGGCTAA